TTTTCTCCACTTTTACTATTTGACCTGAATTGTGAGATGACACTTGCACAACTATACACGTAGTTAATCAACCTTATCGGTTTATGAAGACGGATCCTGATGTTACTGATTATTCATGCACACCCTCGTCTACTTGTCTTTTATGTGAGAATGGTTCCATTGGCACGTGTGTCGTCCGTGCAGTTGTCGGTTGTAATGAGGGCACAACATGCGAAGTGTTTAGGGTTCACGAATAGGGACCTGTGAGTGTGACTATTTTTGGAGGTTTGGTACCTCGTGGAGATTATTGGATAAACCTGGTGTGAAGGCGGTGATTCTTATCGAGTGGCTACTTGTCTTTCCTTGAATTGTTTTCACCGGATTTAAACTGTTCAGCTTACTCTACTGTGTTATTACTTGTTGTGTTCCGCTGCTAATTGCCGCAGTTATTTCTTATTGCAAGTACCGTATTATTGTTGTCATTATGCGTAGTTTTGTAGAGATATCGTGCGCTGTTAGTTCGACACTTATACTTATCCAGGTTTTCTAGTCCAGTAAGTGTCTTGACTGTCCCTCGTTACTACTCCACTGAGGTTAGTCTGGATACTTACTCGGTACTGCTGTGGTGTACTCATACTACGCTTCTGCATATTTTTTGTGTGCAGATCCACGTATTTCAGAGTCAGTCGGTCGCTACTAAGCTGTACGGATCTTGCTATGGAGACTCAAGGTAAACCTGTTGTTGCGTTCGCAGGATTCGGAATCACCTTCTTATATTGTACTTGCACTGTTCTATCTCTATTTTGAAACAGTTGTATTTGTAGGTTCCCTAGCAAACTCAGTAGAGCTTGTGACTTGTACCACCAGTTTTGGAAATTTAAGTCTTGTTTTGAGATTTTATTTCGCATTTGTCAGTTGTTATTTAAGTATGGCTATTATTTTAGTAAATGTTAGGCTTATCTAGCCCCTAAGACTAGGTGCTATAACGACTCCTACGGACGGAAATTTGGGGCGTTACACCAAAATTATTATACTTGGAATCATCAAAATACCGATTCGAGGTTGTTGAACAACAATGTTGACTCATTGCCAGCAACTTTTAAGTCTTAAAATCAAGTTTCTTTTGAGAAATCACATTTAAACTTTTCGGAAATCAAAATAGACCACACGCGCAAGTCATAAAAAGTCAAATTAGGTTATTCAAAGTCTCAAATCATGAAATGGAAAGCTAGAACTCAAAAATGACCTATCGGATCATTACATTCTCCAACTCCAAAGAAATGTTCATTCTCGAACAGATGTAAAAATGTACCTAAACTGATAAAAAAATGTGGATATTTACTCCTCATGTGGATAGAATTTCATGTTTTTAAAATTGAAAAACTATGGCGTTCTTGGTGAAGAAGAACAATGCAACACATATAGAATTGAAAAGAATTATTTTCTCAAGAAAGTAAAAAACGAGCATAATACTAAAAGACTTGTCCCTTCGGGGTACAATCGATGCGGTTAGCTACAAGCTTTCCAAAAAAGCGATCCAATACCCATATTGAACCGACAAGTTCCCCACTTAAGGTTCAAGTACATCGTCTCTATCATGGGATACTTATATGTGCTGCCCAAACAAACAGTTTACAGTGAGCATAGCCCATTAACTTTTTACACTATTTAAAATTGGGAGAAATTCAAAAATAGCCAGATTTACCACTGGTTGTTGAAAAATAGCCAAGTTTCAAAAGTCATTGAAATTTAGCCACTTTAAATCTGAGCGAATATACTGTTCAAAATCCGGAAAAATACGCCCGCAAATTTTACGGGAGTTCCAGCATAAGTATGCTTGAACTCCCGTAAATTTTACGGGAGTTCCAGGATAACTATGCTGGAACTCCCGCAAATTTTACGGGAGTTCAAGCATAATTATGCTGGAACTCCCGCAAATTTTACGGGAGTTCCAGCAAGTATAATTGTCCAGTATAATATACTGGAGTTTGGAGCACTGGTGCTCCAGTCTCCCGTAATTTTTACAGGAGTTAGCAAAGTATACCGGTCCAGCATAATATGCTGGAGTTCGTACGCACCAGAACTCCCGTATATTATACTGGACCGCTCCCTGTTGCAGCAAAATAGTGGCTATTTTTCATTGACTTGATAAACGCTGGCTATTTTTCATTGACCAGTGTGAAAACTGCTATACCATGATATTTTATCTTTGAAATCTTATTACGAAAAATATCAAAGTTTTTGTATTTATCCGACTTAAACACGTTGTAGCTACAAAATATATACAATCCACCTCTAAAAGGCTCTCAATCCATTATTAGTACATTCAATCAAGGAATTTAAAGTTATACCATTTTCTTTTTTTTCTCCTCTCTCCCCTCTTCTCTACAATTCTACTCAACCACATGAATGTTGGAAACGACGATGAAAGTTAGTAAACGAGTAGGCGCCTTTACTTTTCCGCTTCTGCTGCTACTGTCTTCACCTAACATTATTTGCAAAGAAGGAAGAAGAGTGTATTTAGTTTTAATAAGGATGAAGGATCTGGGAGGGAAATGACAGAAGAGAAATATAAATATATAGAGGGAAATTCCAACCAAGAGGAGATAGAAAGGGTAATGCATTAATTGGTAGAAGAACTGTGTGTTTTTCAGGCTAAAAGGTAAAAATAATTGAGAGAGTTTGATCATTTTCAATGACATGATTAAATACATTCAGCCTAGCCTATTCACAAAGCTTGAAAAATAAATCATTGCTGTAGAAGCAGCAACAAAGAGGATTCCTATACCATAAGAAGTAAGAGAAAGAATGAGAGAATTAAGTTGGGAATTACTTATTTATAACTTATCTATAACTTTCATACATTATTTCTACCTAGTTAAAATAACTACAATATCATACAACTTAAATACAATTTTTATATAAATTTTATGCAATATGTCTTTTATATATTTTGTATCTGATTTATACATAGTAAAAACAAAATTCATACAACTAATTATATATTATACAAGTTATTTACAACTTATCTACAACTTTCATACATTATTTCTACCCAGTTATATACAACTACAATATCATACAACTTAAATATAAATTTTATACAATATGTCTTTGTATATATTTTGTATCAGATTTGTATATATTTTTGTCTGTGGTGTGTGCTTCTTTTTCTCTAAAATTCCAATCAAACTTACTCTCTTAATATAATTTTGATACATATCAATAACTTTATGTAAAAAGATTGTATTCATAACTTAAATATAAATTTTATACAACGATTGATACATTATACAACTATTGTTCAACTTTCATACAACATTCAAATAAAAAAAAATATAACTACAACAGAATACAATTTACATACAATTATACTACAACTTTACTACAATTTCTTAAGTATATTTGTATGATTCTTCTTCGAGTTTCAATCTGAAATTCAGCCAAAATTAAATCTAATCTTCACCAAACACCATCAAAATTGAGATATAAACCCCAAAGAATATTCCCAATTGTTTGCAACAACACTCAATCCAAACGAATAATAATTTTTGAAAACCCAAATTCGAATTCAAAGTTAAAGCTTTTTAATGGCTGTCAATGGTGCAGAATCAAACACCTTCAAAATTTATTGATTGACAATTTCAATTTGAACACCAATTGTGCAACATGAAAGGAAATTGCTAAGTTAAAACTCTATAGTAAAACGATTGAAATCCATTAATGAATTCCATTAAAAATATATACAACATGAAAGGATAAAAAATAGAGGACATCATAGGAAGAAAAATAGGGGAAAGGACAGAAAATGAGAGATTGAGAGAGAGAGAGAGAGAGAGAGAGAGAGAGAGAGAGAGAGAGAGAGAGAGAGAGAGAGAGAGAGAGAGAGCAGGAGGGAGAAAGAATAAGGATGGAAAATTTGATTCCTTATTCAATTCCTAATATACAGGGATACTCATTTAATTCCTAAGTGTATATAATTGGTAAATTGTATTTGCCTATGTAATTAAATTAAAACTTGAATAGGGAGGGTAATAAAATTTCAAATAATGAATAGGAAAATAAAAATTCATATATGTTTACATTGCATTTCATGTAGCCAAATGTCTTTCGATGTTATTTTTTGTACCGTCTCCACCGAGCTACAATAGAACCCTCTTTATTTTTTATTTTTAAAATATGTAAAACATGATGATATATATATATATGCACTTTATACACTATTATACATACATAAATATTATATATAAAATATATAATATATATTTCCTCTGTATAGACACGTATACACAGTGTATGACCATATATCAATAATGTATCCAGACTGTTTCAACAAGTACCTTGTTTATTGCATTAAATTTCATATAAAAAGATTACAAAAGAATCTAAAACACCTTAAAAATCCCAAACTCCTATTGTGAGATTGTAATGTTTTTTTACCCTATGAAAAAATGAAATAGCTAATCCCGAATAACTAATCATGGGATAACTAACCAAACGACATATTAGAGTATAATTCACGTGGGGAGAGAGACAGAAAAGAGAGGTGGGACCAGGGTCTTGAAAGAAGCTAAAGTGTTGAATTGGGCTACGCAGGTAATAAAGGAGAAATTTGGCCAAATCTGGTAAACAAGAATACCTGATGAACATTGGGCGGTAATTATCCCTTCTATCGAAGTATTTTGGAGGAATAAAGGCCACTGGGGCCAACATGAATGTTTTTAAGCGGTGGAGAATGTGATGCCCCATAACTCTTTCGATACTTTGCTACGTATTTTAATGCTTACAAAGCTAACATGTTTAAATCATATGTTGGAGGAGTTGGAATGATACTCTAGTATTGTCATATCGAGCTATACTTTCAGTGCGTCTAATAGAAAATGAACTACTACAATATTCAAGTCAAAAAGAAGGAGAAAGACCGTTGTTTAGCTTAGTTTATTTGCACCAAATCTATCTCTCAAACTTCAAAAGAAAGCAAGAACAGAACTGTTGATAAGAGAACCATACATAGTTGTAGGTGAAAAGGCAGAAAGATGACTCCTTTCATACGACAAATACCAATACAGCAATGCCAGTAGAGTTCTTTTTGTTCTTGCTATACAAAGCTATTCTTTTGCAGTAATGGATCACATAACAGTAATGGAGCAAAATGTGCTGCTCCACCTGATAAATTCTTAAAAGCTTCCCTTCACTTTCGAACCATAAAATCCCAACACCACCATTTCCCTACAACTAAGCTATATGTTTCTCATCTTCAGTATAAGAGAATCATGCTTAACTTATGGTAATGTACAATCCCAAATATCCAAAGAAGCACCAGACTCCAGTCCCGAAATATTCAAAAAGCAGCAAAGTTGCGGTACAATTGGCAATCTTTCTTTCTTCTTTGTGTTAATTTCTTTAAAATAACAGCATAGTATTTCATAATCAGTCGAGTCTACTGAACCCAGTGTCTTATGCCAAGTTGCTATTTGAATAAAAGGGATGATATGAAAATATGCTCCATTCAAGGTAACTAACACATAATAGATGCATAAATTTCTCTGAACTTCCCCCGACTGGGAAAGCTCAGGCAAAACATCTACATATAAAGTGGTTTGATCTGCCTGGAACTTGAAAATAGCAGCAATACCAGGAGACCTTTAGTATATACTCCATACTGATGCCCACAAGATGGGCAAAGAACGTAGCAATAGAAATTGGACTAGATGATTTGAAATGTAAAGGTAGATCTTAATCCTGCACAAGTACCACGTGATAATCAAAGACTCGTCACAAAATATTGCACCACCAACAAATGTAAAAAGTGTGTCGGTCGCAAACAAACAAATTATGTGCCTCATATAATCAACTACAAATTATGTGCCTCACATAATCAACTACACCAGCAGAATTGCTAATGGTCGATATACACCCAACCTTGGAAGGAACTTCAGCCATTATTATCAACAGGAGAAAAGAATGAATAAATGTCAAAAAAGGAAGAAAACAAAAACGTAGAAGGCATGAATCTTTAGTAAGACCACGTCGGTGAAATCAACTTCAGCCACTGAAAAATACAAGGTTAATCCCCAGTTGCACACTTATCCATATGAATTAGCTAGCTAAACACTTCTCATACATTGCAGCATTGTATTCTAGCAAAAAGGCATAAGTTGCCTCACATTTGACATGGAAATAAATCATACGTCGGCAAGACATCATTTTCAGAATCAGTTTTCTTCTACAATAAATGCAGCTAATAAAAACAAATTGTTCCGAAAAATGGAGGGATACAGAACTCATTAAGTTGCTAAGAAGCTTTTAAAACTATCAGAACTCACAGATAATACGCAGTCAAGAATAGTTAAATTGACGGAAATATAGCCAGCACAGCAGAAGAAGCACTAACGCGTGTCCGGGCTCCAAAACTTTTCAAAAAAAGAATCAGCAGGTCTTTGTCCTTTCTATTATTTTTTCTTATAATGTTACCAATCAATTTGACCCTTAGCTGGTGAAGTAACCAAATTAAAAAGAACAAAAGGGGAATTGAAATCTGCAAACAATCAAGTAGAACCACAAATTCTAGTCTGAAGGCAACTTTCCAAAAGCCGAAGAATGCAGCAATATCTAACTTCTTCACCATCCCCCGGCTCCCTACCCCCCCCCCCCCAACAACCAGTAATTATTTCTGTATATTGCATTTTCCAAAAATTAAATGGTCAAGTACATCAACAGCCCCTTAAGCTTGGTAAAGTTTTTCATTTAAACACCTTATAAGGGTTGGTTAAGTCAACTTCAGCCACTGAAAAATACAAGGTTAATCCCCAGAGTTCCACACCTATCCATATGAATTAGCTAGCTAAACACTTCTCATACATTGCAGCATTGTACTCTAGCAAAAAGGCATAGGTTGCCACACATTTTACATGAAAATAAATCATAAGTCGGCAAGACATCATTTTCAGAGTTGGTTTTCTTCTACAATAAAAGCAGCTAACAAAAACAAATTGTTCCGAAATAGTGAAGGGATACAGAAGTCATTGAGTTGCTAAGAAGCTTTTAAAAATATCAAACCTCATAGATAATACGTAGTCCGGATTAGTTTAAATTGAGGGAAATCAATGTTATCAAAGGCGAAAAGCACAAAAAAGCTCTAAGGTGGGCTTTAATGAAAAAAGGCGCAAATGGAGAAAAACTATAAATATGTATGTGTAGTCCAAGATAATATCAATAAGCATGAATACCAAATATAAGGACAAAGAAATTGAAGAAAATTTACGACAAAGTAAAATATCAATTGCTTAGTGTCGCCTCTTCAGGATTACACTCATTGGCAAGGAAAAGTATGTCTTGGAACCTTGATGACAACACTGAAGCGCTTAACATGTTTTGAGCCTCGCATTAGGGCTTAAGCTCGCCTTTGATAACACTGAGCGAAATATAGCGGAAGAAGCACTAACACGTGTCCGGGCTTCAAAAAATTAAAAAAAAAAAAAAAAAAATCAGCAGGTCTTTGTCCTTTTTATTATTTTTTCTTATAAAATTACCAACCAACTCGACCCTTAGCCGGTGAAGTAACCAAATTGAAATCAAAAAAAGGGGAATTAAAATCTGTAAACAATCAAGTAGTACCACAAATTCTAGTCTGAAGGCAACTTTCTCAAAAGCCCAAGAATGCAGCAATTTCTAACTTCTTCACCATCCCCAT